GCAAGCCCAGTTTTTTAAGCCCACTTCAACGCTGACACCCACCTCCTTAAGAGCAGAAGCCTCCACTTTCTCCATCTCCATGCAGAGTTGGTGTCTTCTTTCCTGAGCACCCCAGGACCCTGATCTCGACTGCGATAGAACAAATAGCACTGCTGGGATGTTATGGCTCATCAGCAGGACATCTTTAACCTATTATTAATTTGGATGGCAAACAAAATAAGCAGGAACAAACCCAACTTGTCTCCTCGCTCCAAACATTCATCTCCCAAGGAACCCATGCTCTACAATATTAAGGGGGGAGCAAACCATTAATGCATGAGCAGTGCCCATGACCTGGTGCTTTGCTGAATTAGGGCAAACAGCCTCCTAATAGTAAGGCCTTGTCAGAGGGGAGATCACTGCAGGGACTGAAATACATTTGGACAGGATAAACTGGAGAATCAAACAGGCACTGAAGGAGTCTTCCCTTGGTGAGAAGGTGGATTTGCTCATTACAAGGCCAAAAGACATCCACGTATTTGTGTAAATTGGCATTTTTGTGAAAGTCCAAGGGGAAGCAGGATGAAGCACTTTTCACTTCCATGTTGGAGATGGGTGTCTCATGCCCCTGTGTCTCTCTGAACCCCTGTCTTTCTGCATGGAGCCATCCAGCGATCCTTGCAGCAGAGAGAATTAACCCATCCTGCCATGCAAATGCACTCAGTAAAACCCTATTAGACAGCCCTGAGCTAGCAACTAGGTTTGGAAGAGCACATAAAGCCAAGTGATGGAGCAGCCTTCAGCCTCCAGGGCAGCCAACTCAAGACTTATTTACACCCACACTATCAAAAACATTTCCTCTTATCCACAAGTTCTCAAACTGCTGTGGCTTGGAGGAGGCAAGAAAAGCAGAAAGCAAAGGCTGGGATAAAATCCCTTAATAAGCAATTTAGAGTCATTTTCACCTTTTGGGATCGTTTTCACCTTTGCTCAGAGGATATGTTAATGTAAATCAGATGGACTGAGTCTAGGGATAGGAGGTCAGCTCAGAGGAGCAAGAGCTTCTCCCCCTGAGGCTGGTGATGGCCTGAGACCTCATGAAGTCTTTATTGATATTGTATTCATCACATTGCAGCCCTGCTCAAGTGCCTCCCTCAAGCTGAGGCCCCCGATTTGCACCAAATTACACAAGCACACATAGAGATGTGTTCCCTGATGGGTGACATATATTTTGATGGATCAAAATGAATATGACAATAGCATTAAAAAGTTGCTTGGAATAGTTCATCCCTCATCATGCCAGATGCACTTAAAGGAGGGATCTCGCAGTCAGACCCATGGCCAGCATCGAACAGGACAGATGAAGTAACTCCAATGATAAAAAGCATCTTTTACTTGCTTTCAAATAGGTAAAAGGAGGATCAGCTGCCTGGCAAACACCATATAGCATCTTGGAAGGATGTCTCCCTCCCCAAAAGATGCAGAGCTCAGGGCTTATGCTGAAGGGTCAATGTGGAGTCTGAGGTTTTAAAGGCAGTGCATGATTTGCACAGACTTCATCTGCTTTCTGAAGGTTACCTTTCCTAGGGGTGTTTTCAGCACAGCAAATGGAGGGGCTTGTAAGAGTTAATGGGATACCACAAGGCTCTGGACAAATCCATGAGGACCAACAGTATTGTGGCTGGTCCAAGTAACTCAGGCCCCATGAGGTCCCTCTCTCACAGGCTACAGATGGTAACACTGAATATCAGCTAATTTAAAATGGAGATATATATATGTATATAAAAGAAATACAGATACACACACATATATATAAAATCACAGACCTGTGGAACTCATTGCCACAATGTAACAGATTTTATCTATATTCAAAGAAAGGATGGATATTTATGGTAGGAGCTCAGTCATCCCAACTAGGGATTTCTCCACACTTGAAGGAACACATTCAACTCCATCCATCCCAAGGCAGGAAGAAATCTTGTTTGTTAATCACACTGTGGGGATTATTTCCACCTTCTCCTTGGGGCTGGGAAGCCAGACAAGGTGGACCACAACCAATTGATGCCCCAAACCAGTTGCCTGCGTTGCTTTAAGGCCCCAGAGTCACCCCTGGCTTGGACCGACCACATCCTCTGGCCCCACAGCCCACCAGATGGTGCTCTCGGTATTAGTTAATACCCAGTTAATCTGTGCCTTTTCTTTCTACAGAGAAACCCTAGCATGGTCAGAGTGTGGAGAAGCACCACCAAGAGCACCAGCGAGGTTGCATGGTCCAAAAACCAGAAACATGGTTTTGAAGCAGCTGAAGGCAATGGTGGGTTATAGGCTCTAGCATGGACCTTCAAGCCCTAATGCCATGTGTGAGCCTTTGGCTATCCCATTGTGTTGAGCCAAAGGACTGGGAGAGATGGAAGAAGCAAAGGCAGTGAGGAATATGAGAATGCCCCAACACTCATGGAATGGGTTGCCCAAGGAAGTTGTGAATGCTCCGTCCCTGGTGGTGTTCAAGGCCAAGTTGAACAGAGCCTTGGGTGACATAGTTTAATGTGAGGTGTCCCTGCCCATGGCAGGAGGGTTGGAACTAGATGATCTTGAGGTCCTTTCCAACCCTAACTATTCTATGATTCTATCGTTCCATATGCCAATGGACCTGTGAGCTCTTTGGAAACCCTCTGGTACATTGTGTCTTGAAGGCTTCCTCTACAGGATCAGTCTCTTGAGCGATACCCGCAGCCAAGATAGCTGTGGATAGGCTGGGATGGTCAGTGGAGTTTGGTATTTCTGCTGGCTAGAGATACGAGATGTTTTCTACATGAAGGCAAACAGCAGGGAGAGGTTGTACAGGGCCACCATGGGATCTCCATTGCCCAACATGATAAGCTTGCACCAGCATCCACCAGCTGTGAGTTCTGATGCACTCTGAAGCATCTTTCAGCCTTTGTTTCCCCCCAGTTCTCTACAACAGCAATGTCTGCCATTCCTATGCCCTTTGCAGTCTGTGATGCTCATAATTACACAAGGTCTGGAGAATTGGGTTCATGTTGTAGGGCTGATCCTGAGGCTGTTCCTTTGGCCCAGCAGGATGGACTGCTTTCCTTCCGTGCTTCTGGCTTAACAAGGCTCTCTTTAATTTCTTCTTAATAAAACTTGGGGCAAAGGGGAACATTTAATGTGCGGTTAAATAAGAACCAGAAAGCACACCATACTGGCTGACTTCCGAAACACCAAGTGCATTTGCTACAGTTATCCATGGGACGTCAGCAATGAAATAAAACCTCAAGCACAGAAGCCTGACCACGAAGCAAAGCAGCAGCAAGCTCAGGGGCTTAGGGGTTTTTACTAGCAACGTACTTTTATCGCTAAGAAGCCGGAAAGGGGAGAGCATTAAAGGTTGCCTGCATGGATATGCAGCAGCACTCCAGCCATTTAGATCCATAATGAGTTTTGCTGCCTCTGAGCAGAGCACAGGTAATAACAGATCATAAAGTGGGTTTACCACCCGAATTGCCAGTCTCTGAAGGTTACTAAAAGCCTGTTCAAATGAGCACGGTCAGATCTGCCTGCCTGTTTCCAAATCACCACCTTCTTAATGGTTAAGCTGAAACCTCTGTTGTTCCCTCATTGAAACAGGTGAGAATTGGGAGCAGAGCAAATGAAGCCAACCTGGCTTTGTCCAGGAGAAGAGTCTGGCCAAACTCACCATTTGTTACAGAACCCCTCTGATTATACCACTGTTCCAACCCAAAAGAGACCGACAAGTTGGGCAACATTCTGTAAAAGAGCAAAAAGCCTCAGACACATTCACTGGGGTGGTTTCAGTGCCATGTGTTGCTGCCTCTCAATGGAACATAGAGAGAGCATCACTTCTCAGCCTACCTCCTCCCATCCCCCTGAGCTGGCATCACTGTCCCTGGCACAAACATCTCCTTCAAACCCCTACCAAAACCATACCGGTTTTCTGCTCAGCTTGGAGCAAAGTTTCTCTTCTTAGACCCAGCCACTGAGAGAGGGGGAAGCATTACATTGATTGTTTCAGAAACAAAATACATCTGCTTGGGGCAGCCTATACATGTACTTGCATTAACAGAGAGGTAGGAAGGCTATACGGTCCTAAGCCCTTGGGTAAGCCAGGAGGGTATATATAGTGTTCTGCCTGAGGGAAGATGTGCAGCTAGTTAAGAATAAGATGTTAAAAAGCACCAAGAGGTCAGTGAGATTAAGGGCTCAAGCATGGACTTGCCCCAGAGGATGGTGCCCAGGACATTGGGCCACTTCTGCAGCATCCCATCCCAAGTGCTCTTGATGCAGGGCAGAGTATATGCTTCTGTGCATTTTACTTAAAAACCATTTCACCTTTTGGAGAAGCCAACTTCATCTTGTACACATGCTTTTTCAGTTACAGCCACAAGGAGAAGCATTTCAATTGTTCTGTAGCAATGATTTATCTCCATGTTCCTTGCCTTTTGTCTGTGTGGGAATGTGCATTTGTGGCAATGCGTAATGTGTTTTAATGTTTTCTGAAGTTGTTTAGTGGGTCCCCTTCTGTAGCCTTGTGGACCACCATGGGATGAGAAACTGGGATGGAAGATCCTTTGTGCAAATCCAGTGTCATCCCTTTGAAGTCCGTGGGGCTTCTATGGCAGCCAGAAGTAATTAGTGAGAGAAAGGGATTGTGAGAGCCATGCTGGCTCACCATCAGCGCTTCCTGCTGGCTCTCCGAACAAAGCGGAGCTGAGCCAATACTGACTACTCTTGGAATTACGACACCAAACGTCCAACTTCTTTATTGAGAGTGGGGCTCAGAGACAGCTCTCCACAGCAGGACTTACCCCATCAGCACAACTGTTTAGCCAAAATACACCAGATGTTTAGGTGCTGTGGCTGAGCTAGTCAGTGTTTCGCCTATATCCCAACTGTTCCTCCTATGCCACTATCCCCATCAAGTCAGGTTCTAACATCCTTAGCAGACTAAGTTCAAGGCAGACCAGCACAAGCAAAAATTACCAAGTGACCCTTTTTACCTTACTAAACCTCTTGCTTTGTCACCTCTGCCATGGAGTGCTGAGCTTTGGTGACCAGAACCACTCCTCCCTCTTGATTCATGCAGTGGCTCTTGCCATATACTTGGTGCTTCTGCTTGTCATTTTCTCCCCCCTCTATAAAGCAAAGAAGGTAAAGTTTGAAGACACTTGACTACTGCTAAACCAATCAGCTCTCCCATGCCTTCCCCATCCCTACATGGATGCTCCCTGTAGCTGGAGATACCACCTTCCCAAAGATGCTTCACTCACAGGGGAAAATCCCTCCCCTCCACTGCTAAGGTAATTTCAGGTCTGGAGTGCAGTTGGAGGAGATTCACTTGGGGGTATTTTGGAAGAAAACTAGGGAAACATTAAATGTACATCCTGGGAAGGAACAAAGACTCTTCCTGCCTTTTCCTTTCTAGGCATGGCTTTGAGAAGCACTTTACCTCTGTTTTTCTTCTGCTACCTTGCTTTTTTCCTCCCATCTAGCCTCACTCCCCCTTCTTCCTCCCCAGCTATCTCTTAGCAAAGTTACTACTGCCCATGGCAAATACTGTGACCATCACCAAGGCCAGAAGTGACCTCAGGATGTTTCCAGTCCTACCTCCTGCTCAAAGCAGGGCCAGCTTCAGAGCTGGGTCCCAAGTTCTGCTGGTGTTTGTAAGCTCTGTGCTATGAAGATGAGCACAGAGGTGACAGCAAAGTGGGTTTGGGGCAAACCACTGAAATTCCCAGAGCTGTTTTCAAACAGTAAGTTCTGACTCAGCCAAAATCATTTCACTTGTGGAAGAATTTTGATTTTGAAGGGATTGAACAGCAAAACCCCAGGAACACATCAGTTACTCTACCCTTTCCTTTAGTTTGATGTGTGTTTTGTATCACTTCACCTGGTGTTTAGACTGAAACTAAATGGCCCACTTCAGTAAGCTCAGTCCCGTGTTTCTGACTGCATTTCACAAGAATTTCCATTCAGCAGAGAAAAACTTTGACTTCTCTTCCTAATCTGGATCAGAAAGTGTCAGAAAACTTCATTCCATGCGATGGGAATGTGACTTTCCAGACAGCTTTCCTTGCTGTTATGAAGGGGTGGCCGCCTGAGACAGTTCATGAAGGCTTTGAAAGTTCATGCAAAGGCTCTAAGCTGGCAACTTGTCCCTCAATCCTTGCATTGCCTGCCAATAGCGTGTGGATGGGATTTTCCAGGGTCCCCCAAAAGAACTGGATATACAGCTCCCAAGAGGCCTGAGGTCTCCAGTTCTGCTCGGCTCGCTTTGAAGAGTCCTAGCCTTTTCCAGTCTGCTTTAACCAGAGTGGGCCTCTTGCTCATGGGAAGCATTGTTAAACGTGTCACCTCCCACCAAGAAAAGTGAAGAAGGGAAGAAAAAAGCCACATGAAAAAAATGGCATGTCTACAAACTGCTTGGAGAGTTCATTCCCAATTCATATATCCTTCTTTACTATTGAAAACTGCTATTAGCATCTTATGGCATTGTAAGAAATCACTCTTGGTTTCCACTTAGCCTCAGATGGGTGGCTGGCACATATGTCTCACGTTGTACTTGAATAGGATGGAAAAAAAAGAGAGGGTATGGAAGTGAATAGACCTTTTAGGATGGCCACATCTGGTCCCCATGTGGTAAGCCCACGCTGACAGAGAAAAACTGCATGCTGTGGTTCTAGACAAGCAGCTTTTATATACATATATATATATATACACACACATACACAACCACTTTATATATATGTGTAAATATATATATATACAGATAGATACTGAGCAAGAAAGAACCTTCAGTATTTCCTGAAGCTTGCAGAACCCACTTGGCCAGATGCAGACCACTGGGCAGCACTGATTTATTGCGGAGCAAGGATGCTATCCCTTACATGCTGTCAGATCGCACAAGCTGGGGAACAGAGAGGAACTCAGAATATTCCTAAGTTGGGCAGAGAAGGACCCAGGACAGAGAGCAGAATGATTGCTGTGAAAGATTGGATAGGTTTATATAAACTTTCTAACCGGGATGCAGAATGCAGGTCCTGTTGATGGGCGAGACAAACACTTTGCCATCCAGCCACATCGACCAGACTGTGCTCTGATACCCAAAAAGCAGAGCTGGCTGACAGATTCCCCACCTATCGCATTAGCTGGGATTTTTATTAATCAACCCAACCTCAATGGGCCAGAAAAGTCTGTCTTGCTCCACTTCTGTGGAAAGAAGATGCCTGGAGATGCCTCCGCTTAGTTTCTACAACCCCATCAGTATTTATGCACATCCCTCCTTAAGTCGAGGCCTCCAAATTCACTTATAATTGTCCCACTATTTGCTTCTCAGCCACCTCACTCCCATCAGCAGTGGAATCCACACCACCGGCTGCAAGCCCAGTTTTTTAAGCCCACTTCAACGCTGACACCCACCTCCTTAAGAGCAGAAGCCTCCACTTTCTCCATCTCCATGCAGAGTTGGTGTCTTCTTTCCTTAGCACCCCAGGACCCTGATCTCGACTGCGATAGAACAAATAGCACTGCTGGGATGTTATGGCTCATCAGCAGGACATCTTTAACCTATTATTAATTTGGATGGCAAACAAAATAAGCAGGAACAAACCCAACTTGTCTCCTCGCTCCAAACATTCATCTCCCAAGGAACCCATGCTCTACAATATTAAGGGGGGAGCAAACCATTAATGCGTGAGCAGTGCCCATGACCTGGTGCTTTGCTGAATTAGGGCAAACAGCCTCCTAATAGTAAGGCCTTGTCAGAGGGGAGATCACTGCAGGGACTGAAATACATTTGGACAGGATAAACTGGAGAAGGAAACGGGCACTGAAGGAGTCTTCCCTTGGTGAGAAGGTGGATTTGCTCATTACAAGGCCAAAAGACATCCACGTAGTTGTGTAAATTGGCATTTTTGTGAAAGTCCAAGGGGAAGCAGGATGAAGCACTTTTCACTTCCATGTTGGAGATGGGTGTCTCATGCCCCTGTGTCTCTCTGAACCCCTGTCTTTCTGCATGGAGCCATCCAGTGACCCTTGCAGCAGAGAGAATTAACCCATCCTGCCATGCAAATGCACTCAGTAAAACTCTATTAGCCAGCCCTGAGCTAGCAACTGGGTTTGGAAGAGCACATAAAGCACCAAGCCAAGTGATGGAGCAGCCTTCAGCCTCCAGGGCAGCCAACTCAACACCTATTTACACCCACACTATCAAAAACATTTCCTCTTATCCACAAGTTCTCAAACTGCTGTGCCTTTGAGGAGGCTCTCAGCCTTCTCCATGGAGGAAGCAGCTCCTATGGGTGCCATGAATCCTCACCCCAGCCTTCAGAGATAGCTGAAAGCATCAACACAAGCTCATGCTTCCCCACTGCCATGCAACAGAACATGCAGGGTGCCTGCTGCCTTGTGAGAAACAGTGGAGTTGGTGGAAACTATTCCAAAACACTACCCACTTCCTTCCCCAGCCAGTGACTGCAGGACTCTCTGTCCCTATGCATGGCGAGGGATAGGAACTAGATGATGCTTAAGGTCCCTTCCCACCCAAACCATTCTGTGATTCTATGATGATGTGATTCTATGATTTCCCATCTATCATATCAGCTGGGATTTTTATTCATCAGCCGATCCTCAAGCTGTGCAGCAATGTCTTGGGACAGGATCCCTGTAGGACCAGGTCTGAGGGGGTTAGTTTGTGATATGTCCAGTGACCTGCCCCGACACAACAATGCTTGCCTTATGTTCACGTGCATCAGAGGACCAGCCCTCCTGCAAGGCATCACCTGCATCCCCAGCAGTTCTTTCATGCTCCTGAGCCAGTCTACTGTGGAAACTAGGTCAGGAATTCACATCAGCGAGAATGCAGGCTTATCCATCATCTGCTTTTCCGGGAGAACCCTGCTCACAGCACTTCTTTGTGCCATATTGAAGCAAAAGCGCCCAGGACTGATAACTGTCCTGCTTCTCTCTGTTGGAAAAAAACTCTCACAGCTGCCTGTGAAAAACTGCCACTTTGAGGCCCCAATTTTAACCAGAAACCTTTTCTTTCTCTCATTTTTTCAAAGGACCTGAAAATGATCTTCCCATAAGACAGTGAAAAACATCAATGAGTCCAGAGTATTTGCATTTGAAGCTGCCATTTGTTCTAAAACACGAAGAAAAAACCCCAATACCTGCGCAAAGCTTGTATTATCTCAAATCCTTCTAGTCTGAAATACCATATTCCTGCAGCATCTACCCACATTTAACATGCAGTTTAAGCCTGTTCATACTCCTAAGTGAGCAACATGCATTAATTGCTGCTGGCTTTTTCCAGGGATAAAGGCATGGTTCCGCAAGGGCATTAAGGAAACATTTCCCAAATACTTGCTCTTTTTTATGCTACAGAACACCAAGTAAATCACAGAAACCCCACACTGTTAGGAACTTGGATAAGTATTACATTGTCTTTTCTTTAGATCTGGCCATAACTCTTGCACCAGAGGAAATTTCTGTGGCTAAAACTGAGAATGAGAACAAGGGTTTGAGTAAATGGTCCTTGCACCCTTGGCTGGATGCTGTGGATTTGGCTCTGCTGGCAGCAGAAGCAATTGGATTATGCAGACCATACACAGGAATCGAAGGGATGTCAGGTTTCTCCCTGCCCTACTTTCTGCACAGATGTGGGAATGGGTGGTTTGCAAGATAGAGAAATTCCTGGGTATCATCCAAACTAAAAGGCATTTTCCAATTATAAGTGGACTGAAACTAGAGCTGCGAATCCAACCCTCCTCAAAACTGAGCTGCGGTTTGGATGAGATGCCCTGAATTTGGATCCATTGACTCCCATTTTGATGTGGGGACCCCAGTCAGATCAGTTCCATAACACTGCTTCAGATGTGGCTGAAACACTCTTGCAAGCAACCGATCTTCCAGCATTTTCCTGCTTGCAAAATGACTGACTGCAAGTCTTGGTTTGAGCCAAGAAGCACGAGCACCGCTGGCAACATCTGTCAGCATCAACCCTAGCACCATTTGTCAGTGTAGTTATGAACCTTTCTGAAACCTAATCCCCAACCAACTTACACCACAGCAGCTTTACACAGTCCTCTTGGAGGCCAGCTCAAGCACAGAGCTTTGCATCCTTTTGGAAAGATGG